TTCCGGCAGCGACGTGATGCTGCTGTTCCGCGGACGGTATCCTGGTCAGGGTGCCCAAGTTACTGGCCGAGCAGCTCGTGGTCATCGTGGACGCGCCGCCAAAAGCCACCGAGCGTCGCTTCGGGTTGTAGCGTGGCGGCCCTTTAAACGGTACTGGAAAATCGAGGGTTGCAAGGTTAAGTAAAGAAAGGATTACTTAGCCTTACAAGTAGCGCAGCTCGCCGAACGCTTTATTCGTCTTCCTCTCCGAGCGAACGCGACTCGTTTCTCCTCTAGCTATCTATCTCTCTCTCTCTTTCTCCCTCTCTCTCTCTCTCCCTCTCTCTAGCACGCACGCACACACACTCTCCCTCTCTTTTTTCCGACGGAGAAAACCGTTCGACCCTCGGTCCTTTTTCTCCTTTCGCGAGTCCGAAGATACCACGCCCGATTTCCCGGCAGGTGACGCGCGAACTTTTCAACGAGTTGCACGAGCCGTTTCGAGCGTGCTGCTTTCGCAACGGCATGTTCTAGCGCATCTGATTCGGTGCTTTCGAGCGAGATTCGATGTCCGTTCAACGCCCCGCGTTCTCGACGCACCGTTTTACGGATCGAAGATCGCCGCGGAACTTATCGAAGCGGACTCGTAAGCTGTGCTGGTGCACGCACGCACACACGCACGCACGCGCGTCTACTCGAACGTTACTCGACAGCTGATCGTTCGCGCGTTAGAAACAACAACGACTCAACGATGTCGTTAAACTCGAGATACGTAAGGTGGACACTCGTAACGTTTCGTATAATTTAACACGAATTTAATCGAACGTATCACGAGAAAACGGTAAAAGTAAAAGCGGTCGTGCAACGATGCCTCCTGTCGGCAAGGGGAAGCGTGACGGTACCGCGTGTGAACGGCGGGGATCAGCTGCCCCTATGGTTGCCCTTACCGAGAGAAGCCATCTATGCACGCGGCTATACTCGAATAAACGATCGGTGTTTCGCATCGCGTTACGCGCGTCTGTACCATATATAAAAGAAAGCGGTGAATTCAAGCACACGCAACAGTCACGCATTCGTCGCGGTATTTGCTTGTATCTGTTTTGTAGGATACAGTGTGGCCATGGTTACCAGTCACAGTTTTGGTTAGACACAATATTGCGTATCGGTTAATATCGTTACGATCACCACCGTTGGACTTTTCTGTTCGATCACTGTGGCCCACAGTGACACGCGAAAACTCACAAATTACGTTCAAACTACCCAAACATTACTAATCAACTTGTTTTCGCGACTTCAACGCTGCGGGACTTTTCGATCGAACATAATAGTTCACTGTTTTCGCTCGAGATACAATTATTCTATCAGACTGGTGTAAAATGCTTATGGTACATGCGAATTCACGACGAAGTGTCGATCTTCTTTTTTCTCTCCACTTTGAATACTGTTCTAAAATAGTTAATTAGCTCCTTTCGTTGAAAAAATATTCAACAAAAGTCTTGAGAAAATTGTTTGCAATATTTTACACCATTTCGGAAGTCGATCGACGATCCGGCAACGATGGTGTCGCTCGGTCCAAAGATACGGCATCGTTAGTTACTCAAAAAAAAAAAAAAAAAAAAAAAATTGAATACTGTTCTAAAATAGTTAATTAGCTCCTTTCGTTGAAAAAATATTCAACAAAAGTCTTGAGAAAATTGTTTGCAATATTTTACACCATTTCGGAAGTCGATCGACGATCCGGCAACGATGGTGTCGCTCGGTCCAAAGATACGGCATCGTTAGTTACTCAAAAAAAAAAAAAAAAGAAAAAAAAGAAGCGATCAAAAACCTCGGTCGTTACTTGTAGTTATTGTTACAGAAGAATACTCGACACGTCTTACAAGACCATCACCACCAAAAGATCTCACCAGACTGTTACAATGATCGTACGTTTAATTATACAGCACAAAAACACGAATCACGTACAATCCTGTATACGTACATATACTATATATAGATCTGTACAGTAGTCGACTAATTTACGGTAAGTGTCTCTACTTTCTATCGACAAGCGCTGAAGCGTATGTTGTCTTGAACGAGGAGAAAAAAAGAGAGAAATAAAAAACACAGGAAAACACCAGAATCAAAAACGAAGCTGTACTACGCGCATGCACATGCCAAGCTGTTCACGACGTGCTATCAAATAGTTCGTCGAACGATCTTGATCCAAGTCCACGTTTTTCCTTTTATCTATTCTACTCTTATCGAATAATTCGATCTTCGATTTTACGCAGGCGGATGAATCGTCGCGCACCGTAATCTCGAGTGCGAATCGATGTCGTGTAATATACTGACTAACACTAGGATTTAAGAACACCGAATTAATTCACCGAAATCGAAGGTTAAAGATAAGCTTGGATTTAACGATTGAAACGTATAACATTGACTGACGGATTAACTTTCGAACGATAGAGACTACCTATACTCACGGAACATGTATGTACAAGATGGTGCCTCGATTAAAATGACCTACTCAAAGAATCGAATGAACGATTTTTATGCAGAACGGGTGACGCGATGATGGTATACGTAGGTACGTAAGATGGGTCAAACGAAAATTTTCTAGGCGAGGACGCCTCGGTGATTTAAAGAGGAACATTATTTCAATTAGCCGTGATCGAGCGTCGGATTTGCGCTTCGTAAGAATTTCATTGTACCCGTCTTACATTCATTCTCTGTGCAGGGCGAAATTTATGAAGCAAGAATGAAAATAGCCCTAATATTATATTTAAATTGCTGGTGTCTCGGTTATCCGTTGTTCGAGGGTTAATTCTTTTTTATTCAGCTAGGAAAATGTTTTAATTCCGTAGATAGAAATCGCAGGAATTCTAGCCGGTGTACGATATAGCCCTTTGTCGATTATCCCTCTCTTCGTCGATGTCGGGGGTCGTGGCGGAACTCACCAACTTCTTCAGGCTGATAGTTCTTGATCACCTCGGCTAATTCCATGTTCCCGGCGATCACCGCTACCTGGTACGGTGTTTGGTTCGCGTAATTCAGACTATCTTTCTGGGCACCTCTGAACAGTAACTGGCGTATGCAAGAAGAGTCCGTGTTGTTCACTGCGCAAACGTGCAACGGTGTATTACCGGATGCATTACGCGCGTTCATGTCGGCGCCGTAAAAAAGCAAGTGATCCAGATGCTGGACCAGGTTGTTGCGGCAGGCCTGCGAATATATACCAGCAAAGTTATCGATTATCGAAGGGGAGACGATTATAATTAAACCAAGCTTGGTTCTGTCCTTTAAAGTCGGTTCGCGAGCTAACGAAGAATCGGAGATACAGTCGAGGTACGAAGGGAAAACAAGATTTTGAACATACGAGGTTATCAGGAGACGATAACGATGTTTTTCACCTTCGATGCTTGTTCGATCGATAATAAAGCGAGAGTATATTTAGTAACGACCCGAACTATTTGAGTGTTTAATTCGAGACCGCAAAGTATTTACAACGCGGATAGAGTCGTAATATTCGTTATCGAACTTCTTCAAACACGATTTCGAAACTATATTGTCCGCGACCCAATTATCGTTGTCTTAAATGTTTGGTAAAATTAATTAAAACGTTTAAAGGAGTCGAAGATTAACGGTATCGTATAACCTGATGCACTTCCTGCCAACCCTGCAAATCTTGGGCGCCGATGGTCGCGTGATCATGAAGCAGCGTCTCGCAGAGCATCGGATCCGTTTTGTAAATAACGCTGTAATAAAGTGGCGTCAGACCCTTCGTGTCTTTGTAATTTGGACTGGCGCCAAGTTCCAGTAAGGTTTTCACCGCCTCTAAACTGTTCCTCTCGACGGCTCGATGCATCGCTGTCAATCCCTCCTTCGTTCTATAATCCAACAGGGCGCCACCGTTCACCAGTGCTATTATCACCTTCGACGGTTTCTTCAAAGTGGTGGCCAAGGTCAACGGAGTCTCTGCAACAACGATACAGGTGTTTTTCGTTGGGAATATGCACTCGATAACATGACAGACAAAGTCCGACAAGATGACTAAGTAAGTTAAACGACGCCCTCTTACCCCCGGTTTCCTGGCAATGGAAATTAGGATCTAGACCCTTGCTGCACATCTTGGCGATCTTCTCCACCTGGCTGTTCGCCACGTATTCCAGTAACCTTCGCAGGTTCGTTCGCGTATGCATCGCTTTCAGCTGTTTCTCGTCCAGATGCAGCATCTTGTAGACCCGCCTTTTGTACTTGAGCTGCGAATTTTAAAAGCGACGATACGGATTTACCAAACTATCATCCATCATTCGCGAGAACAGATCGAAGCGAGCAGACTAGGCGACTCCGTCGCGTCTAGACACCGAATATCTTCGTGCCGCGATACCGTCCACGCTCTTTTCGTTCCTCTTTTTCTTTTTCATTTTCTACTAACGATGATCCTACAACAAGTACGAACGCATCGAGTATAAAATTATCCCGACTCGACGGGGATTCACCCTGTCGCTTCCTGGTGGTTTGCCGGTTCTTTGTAATTATCGGAGGCATCATACTTCATAGCGTTAGATCCTGACGGATAGGCAATATCGCAGCTACAACCGCGTTAATGATCACCGTTAGCAGCAATTATGATTATCAAGGGAGCTGCAATGCAAATTGGAGGTGCTGATCGTGCGTATACGTCATCGCCTTATTTTCAAGAACATCTTTTTTGCCATTAGCGAAGCGAATTCTTTCGGTTATAAAGTCGCGATTGCAACGTTAAAGGATTTGTGTGCAACGATGTACCAAGAGCTCTTGCAACATGGCCAGCGAAATGGCAGAGGACTTTCGGTTTACTTTCAACGGGAACAGTTTTTGGCTTTCACAACATAATTCAGGCACACCGATTTAAGAGCGAGTGATAAATTCGTGGATTAGCGATGTTTGGCAGTAAAAGAGTTAATAGGAAAATAGTCGGTCAATAGTCGTTTCGCGAGACCAACACGACACGATCGCGGGTACTTAAAGCTGCCTATTCGTCGTGAGTCAGCTCGTCCCTGAAAGTGAATCTCGCGTGACGAGAATCGAGGGTACGCGCGAGCGCAACCGCGATCGATGAGCGTAAGAAATAAAAAAAGAACGTTGTTGCGAACACCGATGGTACCGAATACAGGTGATCTATGGGCCTGTCTAACCTCGCGTATTTATTTCTATCCGCGTTATTGCGTGCAACTTAGCCGCGGTACGAGAGTAAGACGAAGAAACAAAAAAAAAGGGAAAAGTAAAACACGCCGCGTTCCATCTTCGGACGTTCGCACTTTATCTACATCTTCCACCTCGACGATGAAATATTTCGCGAAATGGACGAGCTGAAAATCGTCTGGCTCTCTTCAAGCGGATCAAGGTCGTGCCTGAAGAAGAGAAAAATCGATCATTCTTGGCCTTTAACCGATGGATCGTTAATTTTTCTCGTGCACGGCAAGTCGATCGGAACGATTAAACGCATATTTTTCTTCAATTCATTCGCTGGATCGCGAGACGGAATCTTCATCGAAAGTGGAAGCGAACATTTAACGAATAATAATTAACATGTCAAGAATAGTAGCGCGTTATGTAATTGTTTCAGTAAATTTGGGAAAGTTCGATCGAAAAAGGTTCGAATTACGAGCGGGGCATACCAGCTGGATCGAATGTTCAGCGAGGAAACGAGGAAACCGGAACGAAGCCATTCGTCAGAGGTGGTTTTTCGATTACAGGTGACGAACGATACGTAACTCGTGCGACGTGAACGAGACCCGAACTCGGAAAAGTGAATTTCTCGCATCGAGAACGATCCTGCTATCGGCACTGGAACCGATCGAATCTCTCAACGGAGACGAGGACGAAGAACAACAGGGGCGGAACACCGAGATGAGAACTAGATCCGGTTACGCAAGAAAACACCACCACGACCAGGATCCAGATCTCGTTAACCAACCGTGGGATTATTTGTTTTTCGCGAATTCCCGTTTCGAACAGTCATCGACGAGCGACGACACACGGCTCTTCGAGGCGTGTCTTCGAACGGGTTGCCTTCGACGAGTCTTTCCTATCCTCGATCAATTGGAAATTTTACGTTGCTACGTTACCGATCTGCTCTTTCTATAAGTATCGGTACTAGTAATTCCGAATAATCGTCGTTTTAATCCGTCGATTGCTGCGACAGCTATAAACTTGATGTATCGATTATTGTTGCTTATTGATTATTTATAGCCTCGACGTCATACGGTAATCGGATGCATAAGGCATGCCGTAACGGTGGTAATCGATGGTAATTACACAGACCCGTGTAAATTGAATTTCTGAAGGAAAAGCAAACACACAATGTCGCGGAATTGGAAAACAATAGCGAAAAATTAACGTGTCTTGTCGCGTACGTCTCGATTCACTGTGACTAACGCGTTAAAATGCTCGACAATTTTACACGTCCGCGTGTCTTATTAGTCACCGTTAATTATTAACTCGTCGATAATTTCCTGAATTTTAATTTCCAAAACGTTTCGCTAATTTGTTTCTTATCGACGAATAATACGCGAGTAACAGAAAACGGGGCACCGTATCGAACGAGATAAATTATTAAAAGTTTACCATTCTATCCAGTTCAATTGGGCTTTCCCTCATGGAATCGTCGGATTCTGGTTTCTTTCTGAATTCCAAAGCCATTGTTATTACGCAGGAGAAAAATATGTGCACTCGAAGAGAGTTCGTAACACGCGTCAAGGCTTGTTTTCCACCACGGTCACGAGCAACCCTTCTTCCTCGATCGACTAGAACGTACTGTTTTCCGCTCGCCAGGTGAAGAAAAAAAATAGACTCGCGGAAAAAATAGCCACGGACCCTCCTTGACCCGAGGGACGCAGAAAAACGTGGTAGCTGTCGGTTGTCGAGCAAACCCCTTGATATTCACGAGCAAACCTCTTTCTCGATTCTTTCTCTCTCCCTCTTGTTCCCTTTGATAGGAACACGTCAATGGGCCCGGGCAATCTTGTAGCTGAAATAACCTTTTCGACCGCGTCAATGCACCCCGAAGCCTATTTAAACCCCCTGTATTCAACCTTTCTCCATCGACGATTATTCTACACGAGAACAGTCGCGGAGGTCAGGGATGAAAATTCAAATTAACCCATTAGCGGCACACCGTAGACACAATCGACGGAATCCGGTTACTCGACATTTCGTTCACGACACGGTCATTTATGTGACGCTTCGACGGTTCGTGCATTTTCACCGATAACTCTTTCGATACGTTAGCCACGGTAGATGTTCGGCAACTAACCGCGAGATATCGCGTATGCGCGTTATCGAATGACCAAAATTCTAGCGCATCGTATTTTTCGTATCTTTAACTCGCGTCGAACGCGGGACATTTCTGAATCGCATAAATTTGTTTGTCGAACGAAAACGACGTCGCGAAAAATAAAAAAAAGGTTGTGTCTCTTACCTCCAAATAGCCGACGGGTCCATTGAAGGGATAATCGCCCAGGCGACGTTCCTCGTCCAAGAATTTTCCGGCTTTTCCATTCACGGGCGGACAGAACAAGCCGTAATTGAAGCTTTCCTTCAGCTCCTGCAAACCATCACAGTTTCCCAGATTAATCGAAAACCTGTTCCGGCGAACCGACGACCCGCCACCCCCGTTCTACTAAACACATACTATTTCATGCAAAAGGGTACACTCAGGACCTAAGGCATACGTATACATTCGTACGTTTCGAATCGAACGGATTTAAGCTTCTATTTCCTGCATCTAATCGATTTCAACGTAATTTACTAAACTGCAGCGACCTAAAAGCTTCCCGTTGCCTAGGCTCGTTTCGACTATCTTTCGAGACCGATACCGAAGAACGTTCCGAGGCAAGGATGGAGTACTTTTGCGATCTCTTCATTCGATTTTCGGTTTCATCCTAACTTATGCAGCATTCTTTAACGGGGTTTATCAAGATTTCACTATGTTTGATTCGTTATCGAATGTTCGCAATTAAAAGTAAAATTGCTATCCGAAGGCAATTTTCCTCCAATTTAGCCTAGCTGTCGAAGCGTTAAAGGGTTTCCCAGCCGTGTACCAAAGGGAAACGCGGCGACGTAATGGAATAATAAGAATATTCGAAGAATTCGGCGCGAATCATCTCGACATCTCGACCGATCGTTCACGAAACGCGTTTCGATCAGGTTCTTCCTGGGAGGGAAACATCCCCACGACGAAAGACATTTTATCCTAGTAATGAAGGACATTAGGTTTCGTTTCCCGTCTGGTTTCCACCTAGGATGATGCCGCGTGCTCCGCTGAAATAATATGCTTCGATTTCACCGGCGACAGGCAGTAAAGCGTGGAATTTACGGACCGTACACGGGGAATTTCGCCATCGTTCTTCCTCACGCGCTGCGTGCCGCCAGCTTTCTTTGTATACACGACACTCTTTATCTTCTCCGGCGACAGCTCTCGTACGTTCTCCTCGTGAGACGCGGAACGAGACTTCCTCCGTGCCGTCCTGCTGTTTCGACGCGGAATCGTATCACGAAGCGATACGTTTCGAACGCGATCGTTTATCCGCTCAACGACCGGAACTGAGTACGATTCCGTGCTAATATTCTTTGGAATATCGTAAAAACCGATATGTCCTGACTCGAAAGAGGGGTTACATAGGTGCAAATTGTTCGATGGGAAAATTAACTGGAGCAGAGTGCCTTCGAGGAGCGGCGAGGAAAAATAAATCGGCAGCGCGCGATCTCACGCGTATTACGACTCTAATGATATCGAATAAGCGGATCTCGGAGCTGGCATTTTAAATTTGATCGAAAGAGTTACCGATCCCGTTGGTTTTAAGCACGTTTGATTTCCTGCGTTGAAAGATCATGGACTCGCGTGTGGAACGCGTCCCGCTCGAGGATGGAACGCGTTCAACTTGTCGGAAACGTTTCGTTCCGATGGAAAGTCGCCGGCGGCGCGAAAAACGGCCACGAAGAAACGAAACGCGTGCCGTCCACGGTGGGCACACGGACTCGTGCATTACCGGTGATCGTACACGGTGTTTCGCCGGCAAAAAACCGAGCGACGAACGAAGCTGGAAGAGACGGAACGGACGAAGCGAGGAAAGTGCAGAAAGGGACAGCCAGAGAGATCCACCCAACAATCATGACAACAATAGCCAAGAGTGGAACACGTGCCAAATTAAAGGCCTCGAACGAAAGTACCGAGGTGCGCGAGTGTCTGGTCCCCGTTTAAAGCGCCTCTGATGCACGAGGGTGTGGCTGAGAATCAGCCTTGAAAAAAGGAGAGAAAAAAAGAAACGCCACCGAAAGGGAAGAGAAACGGCCACAGTGGGACAAAGCGAACGATCTCCGCGTTTCATGCGACCAGGAATTCGCGTCTACGCTCCTGTGCCATGGAATCTCGAGTTTTCGCTTCGAACCAATTTAGACGCGTCTGTAATCTCGATAATTAATCACCGCGTCAGGCTATTGGTGGTCCATGCCAGTCGAATGCGCGAGTTTCGGTACCCTTCGAGGTCGACGAACCTCTTCGCGTGTTCGAAGAATCGAGTAGAATAACGTTTATGGACGCTGCATTTTCTAACATCTCGTATTTCTTTCCTCTACGCAGAAAATGAAAAACTGAATTAAGTGATAGTTCTACTCGACTGGTCGAGCATTCGCCTCTCTACGTTTCTCGTAGTTTCATCAAACGTTTCGCTGATTCTCCAGCGACGCGCGTAAAAGCATGGCGTGTCCGTTTCCATCGAGAAGAATAACGAGCGTACGCGACCGCGATAATCCTGGTCGTTCGCGAACTTACGCGTTCATCCTCGCCGAGAGCAAGGAGAAATTTCTAATTCGCTCGGTGGGCCCTTCTGTCGAATTCGACGAAAAAGACGAGGGTGTCACGCGGCGAGACCAAGAGAACGGTTACGATCAAAGAACAAGAAAAAAAAAAAGAAACGCAAGCGAAACTGGCGGGACCAACTTTCACTCCAAAGAAGACGTAGGTTACGATCTTCTCTCGATGCTCCGCCGGCACGTGTTTGTTGATATTCGAGGGACAGAACGATAAAATTGCGCAATTGCTCCATTGAGCAACCGCGAAAGATAAATTGTTGAAAAACGTATTCTTTTGTCCAGTGGAATTCGGTCAGATTTTCAAGAAATAAACATCGCGCGTCGACGAACGATTATTTTCTTCTTTGAAGTAGCAAAAAGCAAAAAGATGAAAGGGATTCGAGGATTTTGGTGACGTCGTTAAACGTCACGGGCAAAATCAACATTTACCTTCCTCCTTTCGCGTTGTTCCTCCTCGAAAGAAAGAACAGCTCGTTCTTTCGTTTTCCTCCTTCCGCTAGGACTCCTTCAGGAAACTCTTTCCTCGACGGAACAGAAGTTGCGCACCGACTGCTACGGTTTCGACGTGTTTACACGGTGCCGAGAATCGGGAACGAGTCCGTTAACGAAGACAAAATTTAACGAACGTTCAGACCGTGTTTCTTCTCGCTCGTCCTCTTAGCCTTCTTTTTTTTCGTACGCCCGCGGCTCGAGGTCGCTAACGATCGCGGGCAACTTCGAAGGAACCGTCTCGCGAACGCATTAGCGGGACTTTGATTATCGTTTCGAAACTCGTTCGATCCGATCGATGATCGGCTCGTAAAAATTCCGAGAATTTCTCGTTAAAATATCGATCGGCTCGAAACGGATCATCTCCCCGACAACGAGGGGAAAGTCATCGTATTCCGAGTTCCGAGGGAGTAGCGGACGGACAACAGCATCGAATCGTAAAACGAGTAGCTACCTTTCCAAGTGGCGAGCTACGAACCCAGGCTCGTGCCACTTAGGGAAGTAATACCGTGCGCTACTCGATGTAACTTGTCCTCGCTTTCATTCGCCACGAACGTCTCTAAACGAGTGGCTCTTTGGTATATACGCGTGCCTTTTTCAGCTACCCCTTTATTTATCCGTTTCGTCTCGTATCTGAAATTCTTCGAACCATCATTCAGAGGTTTCGATTTCCTGCGAAATTCTCTCTCTTCTGCGAATATTTTTCTTTCCCTCGGCCGTCGTCTCGGCGAGAAAAGAACGACGAGGTTCGTCGCAATTACGGAAGAAAATGCCAGCGATTCCGAACACCGAGCTCCGCTGGACGCCTCGACCAGGCGAGTTCTCCTCTCGCATTTTTCCTCGAGGTTTCGTCCGAGGGTATACCGCTCGCGCGTGTACGCGCGTTCGTGTACGTATCTACGTGCGTGTATAAATTCCGAAAGCGAGCAGCTCGTATGGGGGCGCGTTAAACGGCGAGACCCTTTTGTACGGCCCTGTATGGGAGAATAATGGTCGAACCGTGTCTCAATCGTGCTTTATGGGATGTAATTGCGGTCTGGCAAGGGGCCTTGCCGATGTTAAGCTCGGCCGGTTCGTGCGCGGACGCGCAACACCACGGACAACCAGCCGAGATAGAAGCGTTACGGTTTTAACCTTCGCAACGAACCACGAAACGAGTTTTTGCGCGAACGCGTCGAGGCACCTTCGTCGACGCGATGTTCGTCGACGACGTTGCTCCAATTTTCTGTCGGTCCGCGCGTCGCCAGAAACGTATTCGGATTCCGACACGCAGCACCCGAAGCTTCCACGATGACAACCAACTTATTCGATAACGAGCAAAAGTAGGACACCTGACTATACCACCAGATTAGATACGTTAAGCGCCCTTGCTCCAAAAACTGCGCACATGCATTCGCGCTGTTACGTAACTAGCCCGATGTACCTACATTAAGAATTTCTAATTCACCAATGATACCAGCGCTCGCTGTTGGATATCGGAGTTCGAGCTAACTGTTTCGACATCTACCCACGAGTATTGTACGGAAAATGCGCAGACCGAGCCCTCTTCCTTTTTACCGTTCGCGTTAAAATTGTTCCACGGTAGTTGGAAACGTCGGAAGGAAGTTTGTAAAAAAAAAGAAGGTGTAACTTCCTTCGTCCAAAGGCGCCATCCGGGCCCGTGATCCTCGTGGTCACCAGCGTCGGGGTCACCAGCCTCGAGTATTTTTATCCGAACGCGAACGGTGCCAGGCTGTCTCGTTTAATTAACGCGCACCGCAGGACCCTACAAATTGCTAGAGCAAATACGCGGATTTCGTGGACGCGCTCGGTCGTTCGTCAATTAGGAGATTCCGCGAACGAGCGACGGAAGCGTGTGTCGAGGGAGTCGCGCGCGTATCCAAAACATCGTAAACGTCCGCGCGAGCGTGGAGGAAAGCGTCGTGCGCGTGTTACGAAACGGTCGTCGTGTCCATAAACGCGTAGGATTTCGATGTGGCCGAAGATTACGAAATCCAGGAATTCGCGCGAGAGATTTGGACGTAAGAGACGTGGCTCGGTGGGTCCGCGAACGAGCGGACGAGCAGGATCTTTCAACGAACGTAGATCACGGGACACGAAGAACCGAGAAGAAGAGAACAAGAGGAAGAACGAGAGTTTCGAAGGAAAGAGAGAAAGAGGGGAGAACACAAAGGCGAGTGGAATCACCAGTGGTCGGACCAACATCGGCGTTAAAGAGGAAATACGAGCCATAAACCTTCGATG